TAGATGAAATATTACATAATCTAATTAATGACACAAAGACACTTTACTCTGGTTTATTCGTTAATAAACTTTGGTGTCATGTGATAGTTCCATTATTATGGAGAGATCCATGGGAAATAGCAAAATCACGACAGGAAACATATAAAGCATACGATTTTCTTCATGTGCTTTGTGGATGTTTATCGGAAGAATCCAAGAACTTATTTTTGGATCTTGGACTTATTTTTCAAGTTCAATGTCCAAAATTCAACTATGCAAGTTATATTCGCGTGATGAATACACGATATTTTAATGAAAGTATAACAAAGAAGTTTTGTTCGAACGATAGAGATAATTTTAAAAGGCAACTTGTAGAGAAAGAATTATATTTGTTGATAATTTCGCATTCACCTGCTATCAAGTATTTGAGAGTTGACTTTCCATCATCAACAATTGAATATCCTTTACTTAATTTTCCAGGAGCTCATACAAGTTTTTCAAAGCTTAATAAAATTTATTGTGATGTAAGAAGATTACCATCATTATTCTTAAGTGATTTGGCAAAAATTAGCAAGAATATTCAACAAATTCACATTAAGAATTTTGATATAGATGAATTTGGACTAGCAAATCTAATCAAAGCTCAAACAAAAGTAACTTACTTTCATCTAGAATCTGAAGGGAAATGTGATGGAATGATGATAAACAAGGAATTGGGAGTTCTTGCACCTTCGTTAAAGCATTTTATCGTGACGTCTCCTCTTTTGATCTCTGTAACGTCTTTATACTTATTTAGTTGGTTAGAAACTTTAAAACTAAATACAAAAGGTTTTGTTGAAAAACATTCCTCGACTTTAAGTGAATCGTTAACAGCTGATGCTAAATTTCCAAATTTACGTCATCTACATTTACGTGCGTATGCTTATTGTCCCGTTTCAGTATTCAAAGTTGCAGAAAATTTGGTTGTAAGATCTGGAGGACAGCTTAGTAGTTTATTTCTGTACGGATTACCTAAGAAAGAACAAGTGAAACCAACTTTATTACAAAATATTGCAAAATATTGCCCGAGACTCAAGTACTTATCTGTATGGCTAACTGATAATGATGATATTAAGTATTTGGAACAATTATTATCATCATGTTCGTTATTAAAAGGAATCATTATCAGCTCTTTTGTGGAGGTTAGGATTGGTGATGAATTATTGAAATTGTTAAGAAGACGGTTAGCACGAAAACTCTGCAAGTTCAAGTTTAATGAATATTTCAGTTTTTCGCTTCATACCTTTGAAGCATTTATGGATTGTTGGAGTGTATTTGATCCTTTATACATTCATGTAATAGATGCAGGGATATTTGGTGATTATGAGAGAGTGTGTACTTCATTTAATGAAAGAGGAGTTTTGAAAAGTCTTATTGGAGTTCATGAATTCATGAATTTTTCATGGGATGACGCTGAAGGTGAAGATTTGTTATTAGACTGTTCTATTTCCGACTCTGATTCTTATGATAGAGGAAGATATTATTCATCCGAATATAGTGAAGAAGAAGAAGAAGAGGAAGAAGAAGAAGAAGAAGAAGGCGAAGAAGAAGAAGGTGAAGAAGAAGAAGGTGAAGAATAAAAACGATTTTAAAGGATAATCAGAGGATTATGATGATGTCGGTCGGTTATACAAAATGGATAACCGTGATCGTATTAATTTTGATTAGGCAAATATACTAATAAATTTTTTTGGTTAAATCAATGAATAAACATTTTAATAACTATATCCTCGCATATATGACAATCATATTCTGTACAAATCAAGTCATTATATAAACGACTTAGAATCTGAAATTAACAGACCATAATTATTAACAATTATTCAGTCACATTTTTCTTAGCGAAGATAATTTCAAAGCTTTTTTTTCGATCCTTAATCATATTTTATTATTTAATTCAATTAAGGACTTTTTACATATCATATATCAAAGAAATTTTATTTCTCTATTTCTCTTATCCATTCCTTTGCACCATTATTTACAATTTTGCCAATTCGCTAATTTTACAATTGATGAGTTGAAAATTCTAATCGCAATTAATCGATAGTAAAAGTGGAAGATCGTGACCACGCCATAATAGTGTACAAAGATCGTCAATCCTAACGAAATATATTTGGAAAAATTTGAAACCCGCTTAAAACTTGATTTGGGTTTCTATTAAATCTATATAAATAGTATGCATAGTACATTTGATATAATCCAAAAATAGTAAATCATATGAAATTTTGCTAAATTTAAAAATTTATAATTGGTTGCTTTGATAATTTCCTGACCACATGAATTTATGATCCGACATTTTACAAGACGGATAATTATTAAATATATTAAATAAATAAAAAAAGTGATGTATTAATATCATGCATCAATAAAATTGTTATACGCACAGTTAATCATGTGTAAACAAGCCTAATATTAAACACGCTATTTAACTTTTTAAGGAAATAAAATAATAATATTTTATGAGACGCGTGTTGACATTTTTTGAATTCCAGGAAATCAAGCGTTTTTTTTTGCGAACAGACCAAAATACAATACATTCATTGCATTTTATTTATGTACATATTATAAAATATATATGCGGAAAAAAAAAAATTATCTTATTAGGTAAATTTTATCTAAATGTGAGATGGCACATAAATAGAAATAATTAAAGAATCAATATTATCTTTTATGGACAGTACATATGATGAGAGCATATCAGGAATTTTTTTTTCTGTTGTGCCGCAATTATATATAACTTTAAAACGTAATTATTATTTATTTCTAAATTTAGTTAGTGTAACATGTCTAATATTAGGAATTAAAATAAGACATTATCAGGTGTATATATATAGAAGAAGAATAGGATAAATTCATTAAAGCGAATTTCATTTTTTTTTTAAAAAAAAGTGTACAGTATTTTAGATTTTTTTCTTTAGAAACAATTTTTTTTTTTTAATTTTTAATTATAACATAATTATTTATTAGGATTTATGTAAATTTCTTTTTTTCTTTTTTTCTTTTTTCTTTAAAAAATGAAGATTCTATCAACAATTTCGTTTGTCATTCTTCTAGAATTAATATGTTTAGTACAAATGACGTTAACAGAAAAATGTTTAGAATATATAGCACCATTTTATCGAAAAACAAAGATTGTTGAATGTCCAATGGTAGCATCTAAAGATAAACGACAAACAACAACAAATTCTAATAATATGATAACCGTAGATTTTCATTGTTTAACAGATGACAAAACATTATGTAATAAAGTAGAACAAGTATTTATTACGGCAGGAAAATTTATAACGGCAACATTAAATTTAAAAACAGTTATAAGTGTAAATGCACAATTTTTAGATTTTTGTAAAACATATGGAGAATGTGATAAAAATGTAGTAATATTAGGAGCAGCAGGACCAGCAAGAATGATTCCATATCAAGATCCTAATGAAAATAAAATAAGATTTTATCCACAAGCATTATACAAACAAATGAATTTATCAGAAGAACATCCAGAATTTGGACCAAATGAAATTATGGCAACATTTAATTCCAATGCGAATTATTGGTTTGAAGGTGATCCATTACCCATGTTAGAAATACAATCTGATATGTTATATGTAGTAATTCATGAAATGGTCCATGGATTAGGATTTACAACTTCATGGGACGATTATTTTGGTGTGAAAGCATTAACACCTGTTATTGGTGGTACTACAAAAGCCCCCTCACCAGGAGAAACCACGACTCAAAATAATGAATTAGAATCATCACAATTTTTTGAATTAATATCTGATAAATTTTTAGTATTATTGCCAAGTGGAAAATTAGTTACATCTATTGCTGATGAAATAAATGAATTTCAATTTAAAATAGAATCATTATCATCTTTAGATGGAGTGGCAAATGCATTTACTGCTTCACCACAGTTTCCAATTGCTAAAAATATGTACGAAGTTGCTATGACACATGGTGCAATAGGCTTTTTAACCATACCGCCTAGCGAACAATTAACTCAAGGACAAATTCTTAATAATGTAATTATATTAGAAACTAGTTTAATTCCTTATCAACATAGTTCAAGTATTGCACATACGGATTTTGAAACTTATGTGAATAGTAGTGATTTTTTGATGTTATATACATATCCAAAAACAGCAACTCTTGGCCAAATAATGTCTGCAGTTGGTAGCACTAACACTACTGGTCCCATCGGTCCTAAATTGAGACTTTTATTGGGAAGTCTGGGGTAAGTTTTTTAAATTTTATTTTTAATTATTATATATTAGATTTATAATGTAATTCAATTTATTTCCAACTTTATTAGGTATGAAGTTAAAAATGAATACGTTCCTCCAGTTAAATTGTCTAATATGCCAATTAAAAATTATAATCCTTCCGATGCGTATAACAATAATAATAATAACTACGATATGAACAATTCTTCTTTAATTTGTTTTAATTTAATATTAAATTTAATTTGTATAATAATAACTTTTTCTAATAATATTATATAATATTGCTAAAATATAAAAATTTTATATTAAAAAAAAAACGTACAAGTAATTTTTCTGATTGGTTTAAATAATATACAGTATTTTAGATCGTGATTTGTGAATTTTCATAAATTTTAACCATATTAGCGTGTCAATAATGATAAAATTCGTCACTTTGTTCAATAATTTACTTACGGTGTTCGTTATACAGCATAACTACTTACGATTTAGATATAATTTTTATTATTCTTATGGCAGCTTTGATTCATAATCTAAAATATCAACTAAATAATACTAAGTAACATGTTTACAAATAGCTTGCACACGTCACAATGTGTAATGTATATAATTAACAAGTTAATAATCATGATTGATAAGGTGTTCCGATTGGTTTTTTAATCTTAGTCCAGGATAATCAATTATCTTAACAAAATATTTTCATAATTCATTCTATCGTATGATGATGTAATACTGATTTAAAAAGTCCACCAAGAAAAAAAAAATTGAAGCCCAGTGCAGGAGTTGAACCTGCGTCTTCACAACTTTAATATTTAATATTTTTTGTTTAAACATTTAATATTAAATAAGTGATATTCTAACGACTGAACTAACCGGGCAATTTTTAATTTACGCAAATAATTTATAAATGTCACTCTTTATTTTAATCCATAATAAAAATAAATCGGAAAATTTATGTGATAAACTGGTATAATTATGAATTCAAATGCCAAAGAAGTCGATTTTTTTATAGCTATGAAAAGAAAGGTATCGTGACATTAGTCTCCGTGCAACAGTGATTTAAGATTTATTTCGATGAATCAGATGTTCTAGTTGATGTTTTGTAGATAAAAAAAAAAATAGATCATGCAATCTCCATATATGACATGTGAACTATCGACATCACTCATCAGTCTCATCACGCTAAAAAAAATATTAAGATGATAAACCCTTTTTGAAAAAATTGGATCAAATCGTATATATCATTTTTATTATTAATACTATTTTGAAAATAGCTTAGAATTAAACGAATTAAACGATAAAAATATGAAAATAATTATTAATTGATATTAAGAATGTTGTTAGGAATGAGTAACAGCAAAAAGAGTGATTTACGGTACGGTTTGAGTTCTAACCATTTTTTTCTTAATAGTTTTTAATTTGAAAAAAAAAAAAAAATTTTTTTTTTTTTTTTTTTACTATAAATATATTAATACCTGTATAACCCAGTTTTACCGAAAAAAAATTGTGAAATAATTTATTTTTAAAAATTTAAAATAAAGAATAATCAATTAATCAAAGTTAAAGTATCGATAATTGTTATAAAATAAAATATGCCTCATTTATTTACTTATGTTAATAATATATTACATAGATAATTAAGTAAATATTACAAAATCAAAAATCCTTAGAGAAATAAAATGGTTAACCATATAAAAAATTATCATACATATAAAAATCAATATAAAACTTATACGTTTAAGTAACGACGAATATAATTAAAAAAAAAAGAAAAAAAAAAATAAATTAAACCGTATCGTAAGCGTGTCGCTTGAATAAGCCGAAACCGAATTAAACGTTAATTTTATGTTGAAGTAAATACTCATAATGAGGTACGTTTTCAGCTATTATATCATAAACATATCGTGGGTACTCGATTTCTTTATTACGACTGACTAAATTAAATCCAGTGCTTTCTGATGCATTCCTGTTTCGGGTTTGTGATTTTTAATATATTATAAAAAACAATAAACTTAAAAAAAAAAAAAAAAAAAAAAAAAAAAATTTTTTACATACTTGTGCCATATATTATATAATTCTGGTACATGATATAAATCTGGAATTTCTACATCCCAACGTTTTATTTTTTCGGCTTTCCATTCAAGCATTTCTTTCTTAAATTCCATTCCAATCATCTCACAATATTTTCTCAAAACTTTTTCAGGTTCTCGAATTAAATCATCAGCATCTACCAAAGCAATTTTTTCTCCAGTTACATTTTTAATTAAATCGTAAAGCGCTCTTGATTCTTTTAATCCAATGGAATCGGCTGAAAAAAGTTCTATCCTTTTAGATTCAGATACACTTGCATCATCCCAAGCTTTATATGTAGCGTTCGCCGCTCTATAATATGATTTAACCGATTTTTCTGGATTACGAATTAAAAATGTGTGTTTAAATTTTGTAAGAGTTTCTTTGGATTGAAGTTGATTTCCTTGTGATGCATGAAAAAATATTGTTGCCAAATCTTTTACAAAAACTCTTAAAGGTTTCGTTTTATCTCCATTATAATATCGTGGTTTAAGTATTTCATTAAGGGTGGATGAAAAATGATGCGCAAAAACGATCGGATCAGTAGATATAGGTTGTTGAATATTATTTAAAAATTCCGAGTTATTGGCCTGATAAGCAAGACCTATTGGAACGAAAGGTTCATGAATAACGTAAAATTCTTGTTGAAGTTGAAGGAATGGTCGTTCAAAAACCGTAGAAAGTGATCTGGCATGAGCCCAAAGAATAATGGGTCTTTGATCAGTCATTTCAAAAAAAAATTTATATTTTAAAAAAAAATAAAATTATAAATATTCGAATTTTAATAAACGAGCGAAAAAGAACGTAAAATAGAGAAAACCTAATAGAGGCAATGGAAAACTGGTTCTTTTAATCCGAAGGCGTAACCAGAGTAACCGAAATCGGAATAAATTTGGATTAAAAAAAAATATTGATGAGGCTGTTTTAAAATCTTTCTGACCTCAAAATTACCTCACGCTCATTCATGCATGACCAAAAGCCCATCCAGTTTGATTCTAAATTAATACTAGACTGTTTTAAAAAGAAACAATCGATCAACCTAAATCTGTTTCTTTGTCATTAACTCCGGCCGGAATTATGAAATCATTAACTCCGGCCTGGATTAAATATGAATGTTAGTAATTCGAATTAACGAATTTTTTTTTTTTAACAAAATTGTTTCGATTCTCGCCGATTATTAATTTGTGATTTCTTTTATATTAATTAGTTATCTAATACCATAAATTTGTTGCAGCAGTAGAAGTACATCTAAGCAAAACCATAATTTCATTCTAACTGAAATTGTTACGCAACAATATATTTATTTCATTGATATTTCATAAAAATATCCTTCAATATATACTATTGTTCTTAACATATTTCGTTTCATTCACACTTTTTTATTGAGCTACCGTCACGTTAGAACGCTCACATTTTTTGGTTAATTAGTGCGCAATGATCAAAAATATATTATCATTTGTTCAAGAAAAGTACAAACTACAAAAATTTCTGATTTAATCCAATTTAGTTAGATTCCTGTATTTATGAATAATTCGCTGTATTTCAACCTGAAAGTGAAATTAAGGAGTCAAAGCCTAATATTAAAAAAATTATTGAATTTATCGAATTTAAAAATCTTATATAAGATTGCTGTTATGGCAAATACAAAATCTTTCCAGGAACTTAGAACTATTCGAATTTAGTTAGGACGAAAACATTTAAACAGAAAAAAAAAAAGCAACTGTCAACTTAAGATCAATACAAAGTAAACCGCAGTATCCGATCATTTTAATTCCAATGGCGAAATTAAAAAACGCGAAATATAGCATGTTGTAATAGTTTCTTTTGCGACAAAGTAAAATAAAATAATAAATCGACTATTAAGTCGTTGATCGATTTTCTCATAAAACTGTGATTTACTTTAAACGGTGAACTTTCACTTTGTATAGCTTGGTGATAAAGATTTATATCATTCTTCTCCTATGTTTATTCATATTAATTTGGAAATCGACGTTATTGTCACTGCTACCGCCGCCACACCACCATTCACAAGGAAATTAAAGTAAAAGATTAGGGCAATTATTTCACGAGAAGTCGTGATCGTCACGACCACTCACGAGTCACGATGGATAATTACAGTGATTTAATGTATACAGTTTTTTACTACTGATAGCCTTTTAGCTTATACTTTTAACTAAACATAGCCGTCTATAAGAATATAATAAAGAAGATTACGGACGATCGTGTGCGGTATAAAAGTATGATGAAGAAATATATTATGTAAGACTTTAACTATTGCAATAGACTTTATTTAATATATTAATAACACCATAATGTCACATGATATTACCATTAGCGTTAGTGTTAATATCAACGCCAACGTAACCAACCAAAAGAGGTGTTTACAGCCGCAGTATATTGTCTACTCGATGCAATTATTGCAATATGGCTACTGCGTGCCGACTATGGAGGCGATAGGCTTTTCGTCGAATTTGGTTTCAAAATTACAAAATTCTCAAGGAGAAGGAAGGACGAAATACGTTAATAGCATTTTCGAAAATTACAACACGCTAAGAGGCGTTAGAAACTACGAATGACACACCTATAAATGGACTCTTTTCGTCTCCAGGCTCCGTCTATAAGAAGAGTACGAAGATCTTATCTAGTTCACCAGGTGGCCAACCTTCTACTAGGTCTTCCCAAAACGCTACCAAAAAGAACGTTGGTACAAGAAAACGTCGTCGAACAAAAAGTCTAGCAAAGGACCTCAGAACCCTGGCTCGCGATAAATGAAAACACAGATGTCACCTAGCTATAAAGACGAAATCAGTAGACAAAGCGTGATCTGCTGAAATTGGGTTTAGCTCTTTTAGCTTAGATGTTTTGTTACATGTAGTTTTTTTTAGGTGTAGTGATGTTTCGTAATATAATTTTTGTTTCTTGCACATGTAACACGGTTATTGGATTTCTCTCTTATTTTTTTTTTATTCCTTACATCCTGGTGTGTATTGATGACAACGCACTAATGGGTTTCTTTTTTTTTATAGCTCATTTGGGTTAGTGCATAAGATACGGCAAGCTAAGGCCTGACTGTATTGCACAAAAATAGCGTGTGTGATTCTATTTCGGTGAGGACTTTTAGGTTTGTCCGTGATGTGGCCGTATTTGCTGCGATATGTCGTCAAACATTTAACTTTCCTCGCCCGTTCACCCATTATTTTATTTAATATTTTGGAAACTTATATTATATAAATACTGTCTTTACTTTACTTTTATTATTTATTCAGTATTTTTATCACATATATTGTGATGAATAATAAATACCAATTTACGCTTCTTTGTAATTTGAAAGTTTGTTTTAGCAAGTATTAAAGTACTCGTAATATATTTTGGATAAAGTTATGGGCGTTTTTTTGTATAAACAGCACAAACATGTATATTTTAGTTAGATATATGTTATTCTTTAATCAGTTATACAGTTTAGAGAATTTTACAAATAAAAAAAAATTTTTATTTCATAAAATATAATATAAAATATTTATAAACTATTTCTTCATTATAAAGATTTATGGACATTTCAGTTAATGTTACAAAAATTTAGGCACACTAGATCATGTGTCCGAGCTTTTTTTGGTTAAGCTGGGTGATAGCATTTCTTCTAGTACTCGTCGTAAAGTTGTCTCGTAAACAGAATTTTGTGAATACATTTCTTCTAATATTTCTCGTAAGGTATTCCCAACAACATGATCATGTGAATTATGTTGAATTTTGAGTTCATTCATTAAATTTTTCTTTAATTTGTCATTAATATCCCATTCGCCTTTTTTA